TATAATTATAAAGAATTATATATAATGCTTTATTACTTTATAATAATGCTATTATAAGTTTCCTATATTTATTATTAACAATTAGGGCTTTAATTAAATAGGGGTATTTTAAGCTTTTTTATGCATTTAAGTAAGCATAAAACGCCTTTTATTTATAATATATTACCTTAAGATAAATGGTAGCATAAAGTAAATAAATTAAGAAGTATAAAAGTATTTATGTAATGTTATTACCTTTTTATAGGATGATTAGGTTAATTACTTTTTAGCTTATTAAATAGCGTTAAATAATAGGAATTTAATAATAATTAGCTAAAGCTTAAATTAGTTGGTAAATAGGTTTAATATATGGGTGGTTTTAGGCCCTTTGGATATAATAATATTTATAGCTAGTTTTAAGGGTTAAATGGCTATATTCTTAAACCATTTTTAAATTAAAATGAATATTACTTAGGCTATTATTATTTTTACTTAATAATAATAAGAGTAGGTAGTTAATAAATACCGTTAAATAATGAAAAGGTTTTATATTGGTAATTAAGTATGGTTATTTTTAAGGTACTTTTAAATTACTTAATTAATAAAGCTTAATTAACTATATTAAAAACATATTATAATAAATATTTTTATACCTTAAATAATTATCTTAAATATATTAGGCTAGATTTACTTTACTTTTAATATAAATTAAGTTAAATATATTATAAAAGATTTATTATTTATTTAAATATTTATAAATATTTAATTAAGTGTTATATTAATTTTAAATAAAGTAAATAAGGGTTAAAATAAGGAGTATTTTATAAAGGAAATCTTAATAGTTAAAAATGTATTAAGGTATTTATAAAATGATTTTCTTAAAAGGTAGGTTTATATTAAATAAAAAGGTTAAAATGTATTAATATAAGAATTTTTTAGGAATTTATAAGAATTAACGGCCCTTAATTTATTTAAGGCATAATAAGGGGATATTATTATTTATAAGGGATTGCTTATTTAGGGTAATTATAAGGCGGGCTTGTATTAAGCTTAATAGGCTTATTTAAAGATATATTATAAAGTAATAAGGGTTATAAGTAGGGATGAAATAAAAATAAGTAGGATCTTATTATATTATTATAAGCTATTAAAATAAGGCTATAAGGTAAGCTTTAAGTATTTATTATATTTAGGCAGGGCGTAATAATAATGGAATTTAAATTTATAATTTTATTTATATATAAATGCTTTTAATTAATTAGGACTTATTATATATTTACTTAATAAATAAATTAAATCCCTTTTTTATAAAAACTAAGTAATATATTAAGCTAAAAGAAAATTAAGCTATATAGCTAGTTTTTTATAAAGTAAAATTATATTAAATATATTACCCTTTTAAAATTCTTTTATTATTATTTATTTAGGTAAGCATATTAAAAATATTTAATTATAAAATTAAAAATTATAAAGGTTAGCAATAGGGCTATAATAACTTAATAATAATAAAAGTTAAACTTATAAACTTTTTATTTAAAGATAAAGCTTTTAATTATTTAAACTTATTATAGCTATAATAATAAGCTAGGCTAGTTAATATTTATAATAAGGGGCATTATGACTAAAGGAAGGTAAGTTCTTAAAGTCCTTTTTCTTATCTTTTTATTCCTTTTCTTTAAATTTATTATAAATATAATAATAATTTAAATTATAGCTGCATTATTTAACGTTAAAGATTTAGCTAATAAGAGTATTTAAGGCATTAATTATTATATTAAACTTTTTATAATAATGATTTTTAAATGCATTAAAGCGCGTTTAAGGCTAGGTTAATATAAATATAGGAAAAGGATAGGGGGAATATTTATATTAAGAGCATATATATTATTAATATAATAATTAACTTTGGTTATTTAATTATTATTAAGGGTTATAAAGGTATTTATTACTTTTTAAGTAAAGTAAGTTAGTTAGTAATTATTAACGCTAATATTATTAATGTAATATATAATTATATTAATATTAATAGGGAATAAGAATATATTAGTAAGTTGTAATAAGATTAAGGGTATATTCTTAATAAGGTTGGTAAGGGCGTTAATTAAAGCTATGCTATAAAAATAAGCATAATTGCTTAAGTAAATAATAAGGGTAATAAAGGGTGGCTTTATTAATATAATGCTTATAGCCTTATGAAAATTAATAATAATATAATTAAAGGCTAGGGTAAATATAGCTATATTGCTATAAATAAAAGTAGTAAACTTAACTTACTTAGGAATAAAAATATAGCTATTATTAATAATAATTGCTTTTTTTAAGTAATATTATATATTTTATAATAGTGATAAATTAATAAATATATATATATATTAAATATATTTATGCTTATAATAATAATAGTTAATATAAAATGCATTATAATTATTAGGAATATAGGTAGGCAGCTTATTAGTTTTGTAAAAAGTTGTAATATATAATTTGTAAGGGAAGGATAGTTATTTAGTAAACTGCTAATTCTTATTATTAAAATTGCTAAGTATTTAATATAATCTTATAATATAATATTCTTATACTTAATTAATAATTATAATAAACTTATATTAAGGGAGAAATAAGGTAATCTTAAGGGTTATATTATTAAGGCAATAAAGTAGCTTATTATTGCTATTATTATTAATAATAGCTATATTAAAGCCATTATATTAATTATTAAAACTTATAATAAAAGCTATTTCTTATTCTTTTTTTTACATAATAAAAAGGAAATAAATATTAAAAAGGATATTAAGAAATTAAAAGGGTATTAATAAGCTAAGGAAAAAGCGCTTAATAAATATAATATAAATAAAGAAGAATGCATTAAAAAGCTATTAAGGAATTAAAAGGGTATTAATATATTAGGGTAGTAGCTTTTTAATAAAAAAGGGTAGTTATAAAGAAAGTATGATAGGTATAAGGAAGAATGGCTAAAGGATTAAATTATAAGGAGGCTAAGGGATTATATAAGTATTAATTATATTAAGGAAGGCTTTTTAGCTAAGGGTAAGATAAAGCTAAGGGGTAATTAATATAAATAAAGAAATAATTATAAGAGTAATAAGGAGGTTATATAAAGGTAATAAAATAGTATATATAATAAGTATATTATAGTAATAATATGGTATTAAAAAAAAGGAATTATAAAGAGGAATGTAATTATAAGGAAGTTATTTTAAATAGTAATAATAAATATAATATAAGGGTAATAATTATAATAAATAATATTAATGCATTAATAAGGGTGCGTTATAACTTAAGGCTGGTAATATATATAGCTTATATATAATTATAATATATTAATAAAGGATTATATATATAGTAATATTATTATTATATTATAATAATATATAATATATATAATATGCACTTTATATTGCATTATATTAAGTATAATATATAAATATAGTTAATATAGGAATGAAATAAATAATTATTGCTTTTAAGATAAATAAATATAACCTTAAGATAAATATATAATAAGGTAAATATATAATTAGCATAATATTATAAAAGCTTTAAATTTAATCCTTGCTATGCATAGTATAAAAGTAAAAAGGGGGCTATATAATAAGCTTGGGCTATTGCTTAAGTTATAATATATATTTATACTGGGCTTATATTGCACTTAACCCTTTTATATAATGGGGTATATACTTAAAAGATAAATTTAAAGTTGGGCCCTTTTAAGGCTTAACTTACTTCTTAGATATTGCAATTCATAACTCCTTTTGGGTACCTTTTAATAGACGCTTAAGGCCAATTCATAATATTTTAATTTTTTTAATTCTTTTAATTTTTTTAATTCTTTTAATTCTTTTAATTCTTTTAATTCTTTTAATTCTTTTAATTCTTTTAATTCTTTTAATTCTTTTAATTCTTTTAATTCTTTTAATTCTTTTAATTCTTTTAATTCTTTTAATTCTTTTAATTCTTTTAATTCTTTTAATTCTTTTATTCTTTTATTCTTTTAATTCTTTTAATTCTTTTAATTCTTTTAATTCTTTTAATTCTTTTAATTCTTTTAATTCTTTTAATTCTTTTAATTCTTTTAATTCTTTTAATTCTTTTAATTCTTTTAATTCTTTTAATTCTTAGTTTTTTAATTAAACTTAATTTAATTTATAGTTTTTTAGTTTTAATTAATAAGCTTAACTAAAAACTAAAAACTACATTAAGTTTTTTAAAAAGTATTAACTTAAAACTAAAATTAAAAACTACATTTAGTTTAACCAAAACTCAAGATTAATTTTACCACCCTAATAATGAGAAGGATTAAATAGTTATCATGTGTTGCATTGGTGGGTCAGCAGAAAGAACTACATTTACGCTCGGACGGAGACGCTATCATGAGCCTTTATATACAACCCATTCCAGACAGCATGGTATCTGCGTTTACATTTCTTTTGGTGCAATACAGCCGCACGTTGTAGATCATCTAAATGCTGATTTTAAAAAGTTGACTAGGTCCGTTTGGAACAATATTGCGCGAAATAACCTGCGGAAATTCTACCTAGACAGACTCCAGGCCGCTATTAATACTGCGCGCTACGAAGGGATCGTTATCGGCTCCAGAGGAGAGGCTCGGTAACACAACAGAAAGGTCAATGCTACTTGCTCCTACCGTCTCTAGATCCCTTGATTGGGGTTGATAGTCCACTTCCGCGAACTTAACTAATCTGTCAAGACTCGTGAATCGGATGACCCTGGCTCGTATTTCCTTTGTGAACGAACCACTGCCACAACCTGCATTTTGCATTAGATGAATGTGCACCCTCTCGAGTGTGGTACTTACAAACGGCTATCATCCGCCCAGGGTAACGTGCTTCACGCTGCAGAGCAGAAGCCATGTCATAGAAGTTCGGCTGCGTCTGACTAGGATCCATGCGTCTCCAGTGCTCGGACTCTGTAAAAGGCGGTTTTGATTTCTTGTTCCTCCGGAGGGGAACATACACCAGATAACGAGTAGTCTCTGTTATTAGTTAGCCTCTAACCATGTTGGACTGTACTGGCCGACGCACGTTGTGTGGATCAAGTTTCTGAAGAGATTGGAGGCACTCAAGTGCCCATTCCTGCTCTTCGTTGTGGTCTAGCCACCAGAAAAGGTCGATTCGCGTGGTTGAGTCCCTGAACAACGGAGTTGAAGAAGCTTCATCCCTATCCCTTTCCAGAGCCTCCCTTCTGCTCTGTATTTCCTTTTTCTCTTGATCCATAATCCTGCGTTCCTTTCTTAGGAATCGTTCCTCTGCCTCTAATTCCTCCTCAAGTCGACGACTCTTCTTCTGGCGTCGAAGCTGTTGCTGTTTCCATAGAAGCTCTTCCTCGTCTAAAGAGAGCACCCTCTCCTTATCTAGCCAGTCATTCTCGTTCTTTATCATTTTCTTCTCCTTTTCCAGTAGTTTATTTAATTTTTCTCGCGTATAGTCGTTGTGAGACCTCCGCCTTGCTAGGTGAAACGCGAATGGAAGCAGACCAAGGAGATTGATCCCCTTTGCCGCCAGGATAACTTTTTTAAAATTCTGAAGCTGTAAATCTTGGCCGTACAGTCCTTTAAGTAGAACATATTGATGACGTTGTAATTTCTGCAGAAGGCGTGCGTATTGTCCGTGGCTGGAGACCAGAAATGAGATGTTCTGAGCCTGCAGCCCCATGGTTGGCAGTTGCTCGTCCTAGATTGCGAGCATGGGGAAGCTCCCCCATAACTTATAATGCCAGAAAGATCCGGGAAATGAAATATAGAAATAAGCTTTAGGGTAGCTGCGAATAGCATGCTTAGCCGTTATATTGATGCTTATTATGTCGCTGTAAGGCGTGATGTTCTTTACTTTAACCCCTTTCCCGCGAAGAAAGATAATAGAAAGGCAGTAAAGAGAGGTTAGGAACTATAGTTCATAAGAAATGGATGTGAGGACCTTGAGCAGGCCTGAGAAGAGCCGTAGGCTGTGCCAAAGGAGTCCAGCAAGGGAAGCTGATACCAACGCTGCATGAATAATTGGGAATGCATCCTGTAAACGTTGCCTGAAAATCCAGATCGTGGTAACTGCGATTAGAGCGTAACATGAAAAGGACTGATGTTGAAATCAGCATTGAGGTGTTCCCATAAGTTTATCTTTGACTTATAATTATTCCTAACGTTGTAACTGACCCAGGCCGAGGTTTAAGTATTAAAACGAGTATAGAATGAAGTATAGCTTTAAATATAACCATTTTACCGATCCAGTGATAAGCAAAGTAGTACGTTTAAAGAGAGATACCCAAAGCATCGGCAATGAGATTCATTCTTCCTTTAATGAATAGCGGTATTATGTTCGTTGCAGCAAGCAACGCTGCTCGTTGCTTAAGCTCCTGCATGCTACCAATAGATAATGAAAGGGCGACAATATTCAAAATTATATAAAATGCTAAGCATAGAGTTTATAGGCATGTTACGCCAATCCAAAACTTTCTTTAAATTAGCAGCGAACGCTATAATAATCTTATAAAGAGGGATATAAATCTTCGCAATATAAGGCAAAGGAGTAATAGCTAACGTCCCCGGCCCCGATCCCAGCCGCCCCCTAATCCCGGCCGACCCATACCCGCATACGCGCATAAACGCGTTTATACCTACCCTATATTAACTCCTTAATATCTTTATAAGGAATTTTTTTCTAATTACCAAACTTCTCCCAAATATTATTTTCCTTATTATAAAGCAATACTTTAAAGATAATTTTATTAACACCCTTATTGCTATAAGAAATAAGATATTAATTTAGCAAGCCTTTAAAATATAATATATTCCTTAAGCTATATTATTTAATTACCTTAATAATATTTAAAGTCATTATATTGCTATTAACTCTTAAAGACTTCTTTTTAACTATTAAGAGGCTTTATTAACTTTATTTATAATTAATTAAAGTAGCTTAAGGCTAGCATTAATATAATTTAAAATAAGGGCTTTAAAAGCTTAATTAGCCTTTTTAAATAAAAATTACTCTTTCCTTAAAAGGAATTAGCTAAAAGCCTTCCTTTTTCATTACCTTATTCTTAAAAGCTAAAAGAGTTAATATATAAAGGCTATTTATTTTTAATTAATTATTAAAAAGAACGTTAAGTTTTAATTTAATCTTTTTTAGTTATTTATTATTAAGTTTATTTAATTAACTTATTATTAAAATGCTAATAAAGAAGGGTTAATAAAAGGTTACTTAAAAAATGCCCTTACTCTTAGCTATTTAAATAATAGCCCTTTGCTATAAAAAGACTTTAATTTAAAAGCATAAACCTTTTTTATAAAATATATATTTACTATAAATAGATTTCTTAATCCTTTAATTATATTTAAGGGACTTAATATATAGTAATAGTAATTTCTTATTACCCTTAAAAATTATAATAGCTAGCAATTTACTATAATAAAAAAAGGGTAAATAAAAAAAAGAATAATTATTAAATAGCTTATAAAAATATTTATTCCTTAAATTACCCCCTTAAACCCTTTTAAATAGCAATTACTAATTATAAATAGGCATTATATGCATATAATTATTAACTTTATATAAGAATACTTTTTACATTAAATATATATAGTCTTTTTACTTGCATATACTTTCTATATATTGCAGCCCCTTAATATATTAATATTCTCTTTATTAAAGACGGCATTTTAAAAGCATTTATACTTAATAAGGCAGTATAACTCCTTATTAATAATAGTAAAAAAAAGGTTTTTCTTTTATTATTATAAGGCATAGAAAAAGGTACTTATAAAATTAAATATATATTTAAGGTAAAGGGTAACAAGACTTTAATTAATATTTAAATATAGGGTACTTAAAAATTACTATATTTTTAAAAATCATTAAATTTAATATAAATTATTAAAATTTAATATAATAAAGAGCTTTATTAAGTAATTCTTTATACCTAAGGTTTTTTTTTAATAATTAAAACCTATTTTTAAAATTTTTAAGCAATTATAAAAAGTATATTAATTAATTGCTTATTAATATTATAATAAATACTTAAGCCTTATATTATAAGTATTATTTAAAAAACTTTTTAAAGTATATAATAAAAAAGAAACTTAATTAATTATAACCTTATAAAAAAACTAATAGCTAAAAGCTTAAATTAAGGCTAGCTAAAAAATTATAAAAAGGAAAGTTTAAATTAATTTAAATGCAGCTTTTATTAATATTAAGGCTATTTATAAAGCTTAAATAAAGATAGGAAGAATATTAAAAAAAAGCAATGCCTTTAAAGAATTAAAAATATTAATAAAAGAGGGATTATGCATTATAATGGCGGGCAATTAACATTAAAGAAAAGGCATATATAGGTATTAAGGGTGGCTAGGAAGGGAGGGCGGCTGGGATTGGGGCTAGGGATATTAAGATTAATGGATAATAATAATTATTAGCATGGCTGCAAAGATAATTAAATAAAGCTATGAAATTTTATAATGTAATTTTTTAGTAAATGGTATATATTAATAAGTAGCGTATTTTTATAATATTTGCTAACTTTAGCTAACTTTAGCACCTATTTAATATAAAGAAATTAATTAAATTTAATATTAATTAATATTAATTGCATTTAATTCTTTATTTTTAATTAATTTAATTAATTTAAAGTAATTAATAAATATATAATATTAATTTAAATTATTTAACTTTTAATAAGAAATATATATTTAATATTAATTAATATTAATTATATTATTAAAAATATAATTTGCTATAAATTACCTTTTTATATATATTAATATTAATTAATATTAAATAAATAAAAAATAATTTTATTTATTTAAAATTTAATTAATTAAAGGCCTTTGCAATTCTTTTATAAATTTATGCATTATGCTTTATTTTATTATAATTAAATTATAATTTAATTAATTTATTATAAATTAACCTTATAATATTATTACTTATTTTATTAATTAACTACTTTCTTTTTTATAAAATAAAAACTTAAGATTCCTTAATTATAAGTGCTTCTTTAAGTTATATTTAAGTTTTTTTAACCCTTTAATACTTAATTAATATTATATTAATATCTTAAAGTATATAAATTTACTTACTTATTATAATAAATAAATATATTATTATTTATATTTTTTTTATTAATTAATTAATAACTTTTATAATTAATATAAGGGAAAAGTTTTATTTTTAATAAATCTTAATTAATAAATAATTTATTAAGTATTTAATAATATTTAAAACTTTTATTTTTAAAATAAAGTAAAAATAAAATATATTAAAGTTTATAAATAAATATTAAGCTTAAAAATTATAAAGTTAAGATTTTAAAGAAAACTTTTAACTTTTTTAAATATAAATATAATATTTATTATTATAAAACCTTTATTATAAATTACTTTAAATATAAGAATAAATTTAAATTTAATAATATAATTAATTAAAGCTTAAATAAAGAAATTAATTTTATTATTTTATATATATACTTTAAATATAAATATAATATAATATTTAATTATTAAAATAAGTAAAATAAATATAATAATATAATAATAATAATAATTTTATTATTCTTATAATTTTAATTAAATTTAATTAATAAATAATTTATATAATTATTTATAATAAATATTTAATAATTTATATATTTTTTTAATTTAATATATTTATTAAAATATTAAACTTATTTTATATTAATTTTATTCTTTAATTAATAAGGTAATAAGTACCTTAAATAATTATAAATAATGAAATTATAATTTATTAATATTAATATATTTAATAATAATTACTTATTTTTAATTATTAAATTATATTAAATTAACCTTTTTATGCTTATTAATATTAATAAATAATTAATTTTTTTAACTTTACTTAACTTTAATTAACTTTAATATTATATTAAGATAATTAAATTAATAAAAAGTTAGCATTAATTAATATTAATTTCTTTTAATTATTTATTTTTAATTAATTTTATTTATTTAAAAGTATTAATATATATATAATATTAATTTAAATTAATTAACTTTAAATAAGAAATATATATATTAATATTAATTAATATTAATAAAGTTAAAAAATTAAAATTTATTTAAATTTTAATTAATTAAAGTTTTTTATATCTTTTTTATAAATTCTTATATTATATTTAATTTTATTATAATTATTATATTATTATTTATATAATTATAAATATATTATAAAGAAATAATAATATTAAATATAATAAGTATTATAAATAATTAGCATTAAAGTATTAATAAATAAAAATTATATATAATAATATATAATTACCCTTAAATAATTTATAATTAAAAAAAGGTTTTATAACTTATAATTATAATCTTTTTTCTTTTTATATAATTAATTTATTATTAATAAATATATATTAACTTAATTAATAT